CCCTTAGTCCTACTATTTTCGCCATTAAGTAGGAAAAAATATGATGCATCAAACTATCAATTCCCTTTAAAATCTTAAACAACTCAATCAGATCCCCTCTAACTCTTATTTTTCAAGAGAAAACAAACTGACAGATCTTAATCTCTTCTCGTATGATAACCCCTGCATCCTAGGCACAATTCTAGTAATCATCTTCTGAACAATTCAATGCCCTTTCTAAGGTAAGGAGCTCAACACTGAACACAATACTCCAAATGTAACCTAACCAGTAAACTATACAATGAAATTATAAGTTCTTTAGACATGTATTCAATGTTTCTTTAGAGACAACCTAAAATCCTATTTTCCCTACCACTAGCAAGAGCACACTGCTTAGATAACTTAAGAGACATTACACCAAGATCTCTTTCTTTCATGACACTGTTATTCCTATCCAAATTATACTTATAATTCAAATTATGATAATCAACATGCATTATTTTGCATGTATTATAATTAAAACCAATCTCCCTTTTACTTACTCAACACACTAAATGATCTAAATCATTTTGTAAATCAGCAGCATCCTCTTCACAGCTAGCAACACCCTAGACCTTAATATCATCAGCAAATTTAAGTAGTTTATTGACCATTCCTTTATCTATGTCAGTGATGTGAATAAAAATAGGTCCTAAGACTGAGCCCTGAGGTACCTCACTTATGATATTAATCCAGTTTGACTGAACTCCGTTTGTAACAACCCTTTGCTTTGTTTCATCTAGTCACTCTTGTATCCAATTAGCTAATTTAACCCCCAATCCAAAGAGATCATTTTTTACAAGCCTATGTAACACCTTGTCAAAGGTTTTCTGAAATCCAGATACATCAAATCAACAGTCGTACCCTCATCTGCATAAGCAGCAACATTTTCAAAGAATGTCAAAAGATTTGTAAGGCAAGATTTTACCTTAGTAAAACGATGTTTACTATTCAATAAAAGTCTAAACTTTGTTAAATGACTTTGCAAAGCATCTTTTATCAGACTTTCCAAACTTTTCCCACAACTGGTGTTAAATCAATAGGCCTGTAATTATTGGGACAATTTTATTACCTCCATTGAAAAGAGGAGTGTCATTATCTATCATCAAATCTTTTGTCACCTGCCCACTATTCAATGGCTTACAAAAAATAGTAGCAAGTGGCTCATATATGCAACCATTAAACTTTTTCAAAACCCTTGGTTAATATTATCTGGCCCAGCAGCCTTATCGTTTTATAAACTACCCAATGTTTTGTTAACAAGCTCAGAATTAATGAAATCATCTTGTTCGATCTTGTTTCCATTTATCAATTGTTCAAAATGAGAGATACTGCTTAAATCTTCATTAGTAAAACTGAAGAAAAAGCAGAATATAATAACCCAGCCACCTCATAATCATCAGATACAAGCTTTCATTTATCGTCCTTCAAGGGTCTTACCCTATCTTAACATTTTGTTTACCCTTAATGTATTTAAAGAAATCCTTATTGTTAGTTTTGCATTTTAGCCAGCTTTTTTCATACATCCTTTTTAATGTCCTAATTTTCTGATTTAATTTGGTTGCATGGACGGCAACTGCTTGTTGTAGAAATACAAGTCTGACCAACTTTCTTGATCTTCTATAATCTTTCAGATCTTCCATCATGCCAGTCAATTTAAATTTCTTCGATTTTTGATGCTTTTCTTTAATTTTATCTCTTATACCCAAAGAGTACAATAGTAACCATGTTTCAGTTATTCCCATTATATCGAAATCCTCCATTATCACCAGTGCTCTAAAGTCATATATTCTATTTTATTTCCTATACTTCTAGCATTACAATAGTAACAATTATACCTATCCTTAGAACTACGTCTCTCGCAATCTGAGGGTCGCAGGTTTGAATCCCCGTCACACCAAACATGCTCGCCCTTTCAGCCGTGGGGGCGTTATAATGTGACGGTCAATCCCACTATTCGTTGGTAAAAGAGTAGCCCAAGAGTTGGCGGTGGGTGGTGATGACTAGCTGCCTTCCCTTTAGTCTTAAACTGCTAAATTAGGGACGGCTAGCGCAGATAGCCCTCGTGTAGCTTTGGGCGAAAAAACAAACAAACAAAGAACTACGTCTACACCCATTTCCTATGCTAAATATCTCTCTACGTCTTATTTCTTTGCATTTAGTTTATCCTAGCCCTCACTACTGTCTAGTCCTAGTTTTAATCTTCCCTTACAGCTGAGTTAATAGCCCTTGCAAATATTCCAGATCCTACCATATTTAAATGTAAGTCATCCATTCCAAAAAAGCTCCCTTCTCCCTTTGAACTGATTCCACAAGTCGAACCAGCCTATCTGCTCAACCTTACATATTAACCCAAGCCTAGCATTTATCCCTAGTAACCTACTCATACTTTCATCCCCACAATTAATTCTCGGCAGTATTCCTGACACGATTAAGTTATGGACATTTTCTTTAACCCCTTGTACTTATCAATTAGCTTCTCTCACCTAATATTCCCTACATCATTAGCTCGTTCATGCACAACAAAAACTGCATAATTTCTGGCCCTCGTTACTATATCTCTTGGTATGTCAAATATATTTTCCACTTGTGCTTCTGGGTAGCATAATTCCTTTCTCCCTATTTTACTCCATAAACCATCTTACCCACATGCCTTGTCAAGGAATTACCTATAACATCCTTAAGTTTATTATCCACATTTTTCTCTGACCCTTTTGTTTTCATTCCCTCCAATAGTTCCTCATCTGCACAAGCCAAGGGCTGATATTTGTTACTCAATATGCTCATTACAATTAAATTCACTACTTTTAGCTCTAACAGTACTATTTTTAACTTCCTGAAAGTCATTGTTAGCTGATATAGCCTTTGAATGTGTGACGGATTTATTATTATATATTTATTTTACTATCAACGTTTGTTTATATTAAATTTATATTTAGAAATATACATAGCTTATAGTGTTAAATATGTATTGCGAAACTCCTGCCTTTTCTCCAAAGTTGAAGAAGATTCTCGAGAGTAAAAATCAACAATATATGTGTGTACATAAAAGCTTCTGTTAGCGTCAGTACTGTTACATAAAACTGAAATTTCGAGAAAGCCTCCACATGCTTGTAAATATAACCACTGCAACGCGCCAAAAAAAAGAGTATCTATTATTATTTTGCTATAGTCAGTGTGCTATAAACTGTTGGAAATCACGGTTTCTAGCAGTATAGATCCGCAGAGATTTTCTTGAATCACCCTTCCTCGAACAACTAGAAAATATAACAAAAAATGAGTATTTGTATTATTAATATTTGTATTATCAAAGAAGTTTCAGACTAGAAAGAAGACTTTATATTGCTTGTATGTTTGTGAAACTTTTGTTTATAAATCATTGATTTTTATAACGCTTATCAATAGGAAAACTTCAGATATTTGACCAGGAACGTTTACAAAGTTCGAACATTACAAATCATTTAACTTCAGTGGATTCTCATCGGACATTAGTACTTTTACGAAAACATTACCTAACTTCAATGGTGGAAAACTCGGTGTGTGTGGCTGGTATATAATGAAGGACAAAGCTAGATAGCTTCCTGTTAAGTGAATTATACCTACTTCAACTCGTAATTCACTCGCTCATCGTGAACCCTCGATAAGATATCGAAGAAGTTCCAGACTAGAAAGAAGACTTTATATTGCTTGTAAGTTTGTGAAACTTTTGTTTATAAATCAATGTTTGTAATAACTATTTGTAATAACTGTTATTGTAAATTGTATTGTTGTTTGTGTATTAAAACATATTTGTGTTAAAAAAGAAAACTGTTTGTATCAATCTTGTTAGCAAATATCATAAATTGGAGATATATCGGCATATATTTAAATACTAAATCCAAAGTACAGTTTAACGACTAAATTTTAATTATCAGTTAACTCAATTTCAGACTATTTGAAATTCTAATACGTAGCATACGTAAAACCTTGATCTCCTTTTGAAATCCTGCTGCCATTTCCCACAGTTTACCCTTCTCTTTATCTATTGCCTCTACTTTAATTAGGATAACCTCAAATTCTCCTCCAACCTACAAACTCTACATACTTGAAAAGGTTTTTTGTTGTACAAAACTTGAAGATAGCTTTTAAATACTGAAACATCTGTTATCTGAGTTCTTGCACAGATCTTAAAATATAATGTTGATAAATGGAAATATCGGCACATGTAGATACGTAGATCTTGAAAGTCGAGTTGTTCAGAACTTGAAAATAGAATTGGTCCAGTTATCAACGATTAGTGTCTGGCAAAAAGCTTCAGCAGATATTTCCTTTGCAACATCTCAACCAACCATAGCAGAACCATCTGGAAAATGATCTATAGGAAATAGTACAGCTTACAGAATGAATCAGATCAACGTAGGCAAAGGACAGGTTTATGTGTTTTAATAAAGGTGCCTTCCAAAATATAGAGATGAAAGGTCGACAAACCATTTGCAATAATTTAACACTATTTTCAAGTTTTGAACAGCTCAACTTTCAAGATCTACATGTGCCAATGTTTCTGTTTATCAACATTATATTTTAAGATCTGTGCAAGAATTCAGCTAACAGATGTTTCCACATATAAAAACTATCTTCAAGTTTTGTACACCAAAAAAAAATCTTCATGTATATTTTTTACAAGGAAAACTGTTAGATTAAGGTAACATGCATTATTGATACCTGCTTAACCTTGCAAGTGAAATGTAGATATATCTGTAGAAAAGATTTTAAGGGGAAACTTCTAGGAGTAGGAATGAATGGAATGATTGAAGAAGTAAATGAGTGTTATCTGTGCCACTAATTTCCAAAAACATGCAACTGTATTGTATTGTCTTCACTACAAAGTAATAGTTTTTTTGAAAATATAAAATTAGTTTTTAAGAATTATATAAAAATGTCATATTAATAATAAGTTTGTGATATTATATTATAGATAGATAAAGTTTCTATAAAATACAAAAATTCAAAGGTAAACTTTCAACTGATAAAGAAAAAAATCTTAACATAAACCATCAAGAGAACTGAAAAATATCAAACCAAGCACCCTAAAAATCCAATTTTCTTTACAACTAAACTAAGTTTATACATGAATAAATTACATTTGTTTTACACGAATATTTGTCCTAACAAAGAACCATCATGATGTTATATATATGAAATTTCTTATAGAATTATAATTATTAATCTCTAATTAAGTACAACAGCATAAATGACAGTATTGGTCCAGCATCCAACTTAAGAAGAAGAAGTTTAAATGTTGCTTTTGCTTTGCGACGAAAATAAAAAGAGATGTTTTAGTGGTAAGTTCTGCTCTCTATTAGTGTGTAATCTATCAGCTGTGTAATACCTTTTGACAAGGTAAAGGTTTAATCACATCAGAATTTTACTTATTGTTTATAGGTTCTATAAACAACATCTGGGGTAATACATTCAATAAACTATGGTAGCAAACTTCCATATAATACCACCATCGGTAGGATATAAAATAAGATACTAAACTTCCATATAATACCACCACCAACAGGATATAAAATAAGGTACTAAACTTCCATATAATATCACCACCAACAGGATATAAAATAAGGTACCAAACTTCCATATAATACCACCATCGGTAGGATATAAAATAAGGTACTAAACTTCCATATAATACCACCATGGGTAGGATATAAAATAAGGTACCAAACTTCCATATAATATCACCACCTTATTTTATATCCTGTTGGACCAAACTTCCATATAATACCACCACCAATAGGATATAAATTACAGTGTAATATTAGAAACACTGAGAAAGGTTGCTTAGTAGAAATAGAATTAATTAAATTACTGTTGTCAGTCATATTGGATTTATTGCTGTAGGGAAGTCATTGACTTAATAGATATGACTGTGTTATACTGAACTTGATTAGGTAAGTCAATAAATGCTTATCAACTAACTGAGAATTTACAAGCAAACCTATGCTACTGATGTAATAAATCAATAATAATTTAATTGGTTTTAGTCTGTCGTGATGAAAGTAACTGGGACAATATATCTCACAAATAGTTGAACAATAAAGAGTTCTCTAACCTATTTTTATATAAGTACATGTCTGTATCACACACTTTGGTAAAATAAAACAACAATCGTTTCTGGGAATATCTTCATGTTCCAAATCACTATGTTTTGAATCACATACATAGCCTTTATAAAAAACAATTCCTGTTCTAATCCAAGTAATCTATATGTAGTTATATCACTATACTAAATCAGGAAAAAACAACATAAAAAAAGACTAGGAAAGACTAAGTTCTATGATTAACTTTAGGAACATCCATCAGATCACAACTAAGGAAGGATAAAATTCTTAAGGTATTTAAATATGTTCCATTTAATGCCCTCAAAGCATACATAGTATGAACTGTGTACAGAATTTACATAAATATTGTATATCTTTGTGAAAAGTTGTTATACCTTATTTCAAGCTTTAAATTTATTTTTCTCATACCCAATTCACCCATACCATTTTTTAAATGATTTCTGAGTAGTAAAGCACAAAAAATATAACTATTTCTTTCAAGAAATATGAAATAATGATAAACAGAGGGAAACATTAACTGAATATCTTTACACTCAAAATCTAAACATTTCAAAACCACAAAAAACAACAACTTCTAATTAAAATATTTCAGATAAAAGTCAACTTAAAGTTATGCCAAATTCTAGACTTCTGTCAGTGGGCCTTGAGTTTATCATTGCCATAAGAACCATTTGAAGTAATGATAAACTTGTTGGGTTTGGAGTCTTCTTTGAGAGACAAGTAGAACATTGAAAAAGTTGCTTCTTGAGTTACTTCTCGTTTGATGTCTAGAAATGGTGGAAGCCTTTTATTAAGCTCTTCACCTGTTAATGTGGTGTAGGTTTCTAACAGAATTAAACCTTCACACCTAGAACAAAGAAGTATATGCTTGAAATTGTGGTCAGAGTTTACAGTAAAATCTCTACACCCAGAAAAAAAATGATATACTTATGAGCGGGTTATACACATTCTAAAACAATGCAGTGAATATTTCTAGTAGATTTTAAACTCAAGTTTATAATCTTTAACAGTTGTGTTGTAGAATTTGTTTTTCAAGGTTACCTTGGATGACAAGGTCGTTTGTAGATATCCATCTGAAAGTACATGTTTTGCCAGAGAAAACAACGCCGTAGCTTGTACACTGTATAATGAGAATCATCTCTTTGAGCCAGCATGTTCTATTAGAAAACAAAAAAACTATTACAATGCAGTTGTTCATCTGGTCAATAATTAACTCAGAACAGCTTCTAGAACATTTTGTATTTGTTCATTTTAGTAATTGGTAATATTTAGGGGCTACACTAAATCTTTAAAAATTTGAGTTTTGTGTAAAGTAATAAAATCTAAGTCTCATTAAACACCTCATTTCCACTCCTTATGAAGTATCATACTCACAAGTACAGTTAGACTTATTATATTGGAATCTGAATAGTGTGTTTGAATTTAAATTTTGTAACTGTGAATAATTTACACATAATACTTTTAACAGTGCTAAGTTTGGCTAATCATGTTTTATTTTAGTTTCATGGGAATATTCAATAGAGTAGATACTATTTCAAAACAAATTAGTCTCAATAAGTAGCAAAAAAGTATACAATATTAATCATACCTATATATCTATTTTTCAATGGGTTTCTCACATTAAAATTAAAAACTGTAGTTATCACAATAAATAATTTAATGTTCAATTAATGTGCCAAGCAATGTTGCTTAAAACGTGACCAAAAATATTTTAACATACCTGTTGTATTAATTTTCATAAACACAAAACAATATTTCCTTTTACACTTTTATTAAGTCAACCCATTCATGAAGACCTCACAATATTATAACATATCTTTTGTACTGTATAACTTTTTTGATTTAAAACTGTAATGTTACAACCAAACTATATCTTACCACATAGTCTCGATGAGATAACTGCCGTTTCAATTCTATCACCTGATCATTCACTTCCTTGTTACGTTGTGTGTGAGTATAACTCCAATTCCCTAAGATTAAGAACCTATTTTTATACAAGATGCAGTTTCTATTACCTAATATTACAAATAATTCTTAATCATTTTGATGTTAATAATCTTACTACACATCTTATTTACTTATTTTGATTTTTTATTATAGATCAAATATGTTTTGTTTTTTATATTAAGAGGTCATCAC